TTTTTAATGAAAAGGGCTAAAAGTGATGCATACAAATACATTGCTTTCTGGAGAAAGAAGAGAATTCCCAGACTGTTTGTTTGCAATAATGGCCTCTGATACGGAGACATTGGAAAGCAGGTGACATGAGGCTAAAATCCAGGCTTGTTCATTTTAGCTGAAGACCTGCAAAGCTGCGTGGATTTCCAGCAGCCAGAAGCATACTCTACAGTTGATGCTTAATCATCTACATGAAGAACCTTCAGTCGGATAGACACACAAAGACTTCTTTGCAAAAACCATTGATTTTTTTTTTTTTTTTCAACACCTGGGATAAGGGCGTGGGTGTTTCGTTTTTTAGTCTGTATAAGGGATTACGTGTGCGTGAGCTGGGATGTGTGAGTATGTGATAGTCCTATTTTCAAGGTATGGATGTTTGGGGATAACGTGTCAGAGCATGCCTGAAAGAGCACTGCAAGATTATTTTTGAAGAAATTTTATTTTATTAGCTCTAACTCTTCATAGTGTGTAAATGTTAGAACATTTTAATACTATTTTAAAGCTGGGCTTTCCCGGTATTTTGAAAAGAAATAATATATCTGTTAATGTTATTGGAATGCTGCTCAGTTCTCTGATCAGTGCTTACGGGACGATTGTTGATAACTAACCAAAGTAGATGCCTGCAGAGACTTAAAAATGTAAAATAAAGATGTATGCTGCCCGGCAGCTCTTCTCCTTAGAAACGTTAACTTATTTTACTCCATAATTATTATAGAAACTGTATAGATTAAAACCAGTATTGTACATTTTTGCAATGCACTGTTAGACAAGAACAGGTGTACAAAGCTAAAGAAAAGATTGTGGTCACTGATGGTAGAATACATGACTTGCGGGCTCCAAGGTCTGCAGAAAATTCAAGGAGAGATGCAAACACATTTTTCTATGTTTATTCAGGACTCATGTGTTTCACCCAGAAGGAACCTGGGGCTATGGGGGAAAAATGAAAGGAAGCCTGAAGACTGACTACCAAAACATGCAATATACTTAACTCCTGTCGAAGTCTGTAGCATAACATGAACTGGATTCTCTGTCCTTTTTTAAATAGCATTTTGTAAAAGAAATGAATGTAGTCCCACAATTCCTCTGATTTGAAAGGAACACCTTGTATTTTTTATAGGCATCTCTTATCCACTGTGACTTTCCTTTTAAACTGGGCTCTGTGACTCCAGAGTTTAGAATGTAGAAATGAAATGCTTAGCTTTGCCTTTTCTTGGGGGTGTGGACCCTGCCAGAAATGTAATTATGCTCAAGTGCATTAATTGAAGGCACTGTGCACGCCATTGGACTGCTGACTAGAGTTGTGTTACCTGTAAAATCCATAACTGGTCACGGCACATTCATAATCACTGTATTTTTTGACCCTGATAAAACACACACAAATTATTTTAATGGTGTTCTGGTACTGTAAATGGTGTCCTTTAAATTATTTAATAACTTTTAGGTGTGGGGCAGGAAGAGAGGGATGGTGTCCAGACACCCCACACTTTACATCCTATCTTACCATCCCCTATTTTCTCACCCTCCTTATATCCTTTTTGTTAAAATAAAAAGCATTATAGCTGTTGATTTGTGTTGTATTTTAAGGATGAATGATAGTGTGCATCATGCAGAAACTTTTCAAATGTTATCCTCATTGTTAAACATACCTTCCCGAAAAGGGGGAGAACAAAGTTGAGAACAGATTAGGTTGACTAATTACCCAAACCAAACCTTTGAACAGTTGAAATTTCCTTTTCATGTTTATGTAGCTAAGTTAATAAATAAGATAAATACACCTACAGAAAGCAAAAATGCAAATATAAAGTAAGTAGGATTGTCCTTTTGCAATTGAGTTTTCCTAAAACCTACACTGGTTTGCTCCTCTGAATCCAGAGTTTGCATTTAACAAAATATACCAGATGCTTAATTTATTAAACACCCTGTGTAGTTCCAAACAGAGCCATTTGTGCTCATACAACCTTTTTCTCTTGCCCACTAAGCTGATCTTTTTAAATAGTAATACTAGCTTGTAAAATAACACCAAGAGAAGAGATCTGGAAGTTTTTTCATTCTGCTTCTAAAATAGGAAGCCAAAAGCTTTTTTTTTTTTTTTAAACAATTTAGAAACTATTTTCTACTTTCAGTGATATAGAGGGTGTGATACAACCCACAGTCTACCATAAATTTAGGAAATAAACATTCTCTTGGAACAAACTCACCAAAGCCAGAGTAAGTTTTCCTCATTTAGGTCCAAGAGAACTGCTCACACACCACACCAGCATAATCTAAATGAAAAGAAAGAAGATATTAGAATCAATGTAGTTGTACTTGATGGCATTTTAAAATTTTTTTCCCAAGTAATCCCCTGTCATCTTAGCAAATGTAGGAAATGTAAAGAAAACTAGAATCACTGGAAACCAGAGATAACAGTATTCTGGGGTATTTCCTTCTAGTCAATGTCTCTCGTTAAATACACACACACACGTATACACATATACACACATTTCCTTTGTACACAGTTTGACAGTGCTAACTGCTAAAATGTTAGCACAACTTTTATAACAAAGATGTTTTTGTGCCACTTTGTCCAATGCACACTAAGTAAAACCTACTTTGATCCTTGCTTTCCTCAACTGTAAATTAGGTTAGCTGCTCTATATTAAGAGCTTGCCATTACTTTTCCTAAGTTTAAAGAATGATTTAACTACTGTATTAGTAGACTTAGGACCCCCAAACAGGTATATTTCTATTGTTCCCTCACTCAAGTGTTTACTGAGTGCACTTGCATGCCATGAGTCAAATAAGTGTCCTTCCCTGTCCCTACCTTCAACCAAATCCGTAGGAACACGTGTTAGAACATCACCTTCCCCCACACCTAGAGTTGTCATCTCTTTGGTCCTACCACCATTTTACCTGGTCTTTGCGTCTCCTTGTTTATAGGCATCCACTGTGATTATTTCTTTTTGAAGATAAATCTGTGTCCTACCACAGCTTTAAAACCTTTCAGTGAATTCAGATGACAAAGACCAGTCAGTCCTGAGCAAGGTCTAAAAAGTCCTCCCAGTCTAGGCCTACCAGTGTCACTTGCTATCATGCCCATCCCATACTCCAAAGTATCCGACTATTTGGTTTCCTTCTGGTTTGCTCTACCACTGGGCCTTTGCACAGGCTACCTTGGTCTGAAAAGTTTCTCCTTCACCTAATTCAATTCACCCAAAGTTCAGGTCAGCCCAAGTGTCATTTTTCAGGCAAGCCTTCCCTGGCCTCCATAAATCTCATCCCCCATTGATTATAGGCACCTAAGTAGCTCTTTCATATTATGTGACAAACTCCATGTTACCTTTTTTTAATGCAGAAAATAATGGCCATCTACCCGCTACAGTGGAAGCTCCAGAAGGGCAGAAGCCACATCTGTGTTCTTCTGAAGTACAAGGCTGGCTGAGGCAGTTTCCACACCTCAATTCCATAAGCAACACCCAGGGTGCTTGCTAAAATGCTTCACCCCCAGACCGTGATTCTAAAGGGACAGGGGCTTCAGTCTGTTTTTACAAGCACCTTCCCTGGTTCATGTGGATGCAGAGGGGACTTCCCATTGCTCTAAGGGTTCTAGAGACCTCAAATTCATTCTAGGTTTTTTACATTTGTCTACACGCATGCACCCAAGAGGTTAACAAACATCTCTCTATACTACCCTCTAAGGTCGTAAGGGTTAACTCAAATGAGAGGATTAGAAAATTGGAGGCATAATTAGCACCTAGGTTCCAGTTACGTGGTTTCTTTTTTTTTTTTTAAAGATTTTATTTATTTTTATTTATTTATTCATGAGAGACAGAGGGAGAGAGAGAGAGAAAGAGAGAAGCAGAGGGAGAAGCAGGCTCCCAAGGAGCAGGGAGCCCGATGCGGGACCCGATCCCAGGATCCTGGGATCATGACCTGAGCCGAAGGCAGACGCTTAACCATCCGAGCCACCCAGGCGCCCCCAGTTACGTGGTTTCTGTAACCATTAAACCAATAACCCTCAACTCTGATACTAAAACCCGGAGGCCCTAGCCAACATGCCATCCCCCACCAGGAGAGTGCCGGGAGCAGGTCCTTAGTATTTTCTCGGGAATCACGTCGGAAGCTAGCAGGCACAGATAGAATTCCTGTGTTAGTTTGCAGTCACAGAACTGCAAGACAAAAACCCAGCCGAACACCATCTGTTAACTAACTTGAAATCCCCGAGTACATTTAGGAGGCCTATTTAAGTTAATTCGATCCACTGGACTTCAGGTGGTAACAGCTTAAAGAAACTGCCCTTAGCCACCCTGTTCCAGTCCCCACCTGCACCCTCTGTGAAACTGGGTAGTGCACAGCCCCCAGCTGCAGCTAGCTAGCCAGCCGCTCGGGAGCAACCCAGAGGCAGAACCCTAACTCTTAGTCTGTCAAGGCTGGGCTCCGCCTCCACGTCACCCAGAAGAATGTTATTTTAATGGCTAGGTGTATTTAATGGCTAGGCTGGGGTATTTCCTTCTAGTCAATGTCTCTCATTAAATACACACACACACACACGTATACACATATACACGCATTTCCTTTGTACAGTTTGACAGTGCTAACTGCTAAAATGTTAGCACAACTTTTATAACAAAGATGTTTTTGTGCCACTTTGTCCAATGCACACTAAGTAAAACCTACTTTGATTCTTGCTTTCCTCAACTGTAAATTAGGTTAGCTGCTCTATATTAAGAGCTTGCCATTACTTTTCCTAAGTTTAAAGAATGATTTAACTACCGTATTAGTAGACTTAGGGCTCCCAAACAGGTGTATTTCTGTTGTTCCCTCACTATCTTGCTTAGAAGCTTCAGCCCCACAGCCACACGGGAGCACTAAACCTCCTACTTGTGAGGCCCTCTAACAAAGGGACAGATGCAGACTGTTAGAAGAGCAGCTCTCCTAAGCTACAAAACAAAACAAAAAAACATCTTATGCAATTTATCGATTGTTTTTGCAACACTTTTATTTGAAGGCTGTCAAAAATACAGCCTTTCATGAAGTATTTTGAGAAAGGGAGGCAGAATAGAGCAGGAAAAAAGCTAACTTGTCTGCTCCATTAGCTCACATTCAAGTAGGACCATTGTTTTTTTTTTTTTTACATTCATTTAAATGATATATTTGAAGCTGAAAGTGCTGTCACAGGACAGGCGTTTGCCTTTGCATCTCCCACACAAATCTTGACGATGGGGCCTTTTAGGGTCAACGTGGCGGAGTTTTACAGTGCAGGAGCATCTAGTCTGTTTACAACTCTGAAAAACCAAAGTGAGAAGCACATACAGAAGATAAGCCTGTGGGGACTTCCTCAAGCTTGAGTTTTTCTAGTCCATTCAAGTACTTCGCGAATGCACTCCACGCAAGGCCCTGTGATCTTGTCCCATCTGCACCCCTCCAGCAAGGACAGGACAGGAAGAGGGTGCTCAACCAGCTAGTCATGCTCTCATGTTGCAGAAGATTCAGTTCAGACTTGGGAAGTTTCTCTTGAAACACAGCTAGAAGGAAATCTCTTTCTGCACTTGAAGGGTGGAGAAGAAACCAGTCGGGAAGAGGAGTCGGACAAGGAAAGCCAAGGGGTGAGGCTGCTAGGCGCAAGCTGTGGATCCAGCCTAGCAGCAAGGGCTGACCGTGCCTCCCCAAACACACCTGCTGCAAATGACCTGAAGCTGACACCAAAAGCAAAGCAGCAACCCCTGTGCCAGGAGCACGGTGTTTGAAGCATCCTACTTTAGGGCCTAACCCTACTCTGCCCTCATCTAAGGGAGTCTAAACCGTTTTCCATACTTGGGGCCTCTCTTCCTACCCTAGAGTGTAAGGCTTCCAACGTCCAACTTGAGGGACGTACATGGATTAGGGCTGTGTCGACTGACACATCAGGCTCCGCTACCGTGTGCTAACGGTCATGATCTGAGTCTGGGATCAAGCCCCGCGTTGGGCTCCCTCTGCCTCTCCAGCTGGCCTGTGCTTGCTCTCGCTCACTCGCTCTCAAAATCTTTAATAAGACCTACAGACCATTTAGCTCTCGAAAAAAAAGTTTAGTCACCTCTTTCCTTAGATTATCTAACCCGCTTCCCACAGTGCAGTGCTTAGTTAAAAGTAAACCAGCAATGTCACTCATTAGCCCCATAAAGCTGGGCAGCTTAAATTTACTCTAAAACAAATCATCCTCCCTTCGCCAGCACTCAGGCAAGACTGAAACTTTCAAACCCCATGCTTATACTAAGTATCCTCACTGGGGCATGGGCTTCAAACAAAGCATTTGGGCAGAACAGGCAGCCTCATGACAGTAGAAAGGTATTCTAGGTTTTGACTTGCTTTCCCACATTAGACTGAGTACCAGGTAAGGCAAACATTCTTCCATGCTGCGGGAGAAGGGACAGCGTCTAAAGAGGTTAGCATAACCAAGACTTGCAAGGACAGAAGGAAACAAGACCCCCAAGGCCCAATTTCCCGGTTGAGTATTATTTCCACAATCCCCACTGAAAAGCAGTCAAAACCTAAGGTCACTGGGAACTTAGTCTGTCTCAGGATACATTCAAGAAGCTCCACCAAAACCCTCTCCCAGCTACCCGGTTCAGACACAAAATGTATTTGATTTACTTGACAGGTGATATCCTCTACTCGGTAAGGGTTATAAGACTTCTGACAAGTTCTGCAAAACTGCTTGAAGTAAACCTGTGAGGAGAGAGGGGAAACGTGAAGCAAAAGCCTCTCGACACTAATGTCAAAAAGACGCCAAGTCCGCGGCATTTCTTACCTTGTTGGTGCCCTGCACACACCACACGTAGGCACTTTCCCATCGGATGTTGCAGTCCTTGCAGTGATAGTAGCCATACTTCTGCTCTAAGAACTGAAGAGAAAGACACCAGGGTTTAACTCACAGGATATTTGAATTAGCCTTCATTTCACAAGCTGGGAAGGACCAATTTGCTACTTAAAATTGGCAACCTCATTCCAGATCATGGAGGAAAGTGGGCTCAAGGTTTGCCCATTATTCTCTGTAATGTAGTAATCAGGTGACCTAATGGTTTAATCAAGCACACAGCAAGCAGGAGCCTAAAAAAGTTCATGTTCCAGATCCACTTGGTTCAATTTCCAACAGTGCTAGGAATCTAAATTGTGCATAAACCAGAATTCATATTTAACATGAACTAAAGTAGTACTGTCTTATTCTTGAGCTTCTCCTCTCCCCCTCCCAGTGAGAAACAGGTGTTTGGAGTTAGGCCTTTAAGTGCTCTCCAAAGTTCCTGCCAATTCTAGAGCAATTTCATAGGTGAGCAAACATCGGTCCAGGAAAGTTAGGAGGCAAGATTACATACGGTTTAAATGACACACAGCTTCTGTCCAACTTGACTCCCTCCGCCTCTCCTCCCCTGCTCCCAACAGCCCTGGGCTGACTGTGGGGGGGGGGGGTAAAGGAGGCCTCCAGTGCTCTTACTACCTACCTCGGCCTTATCCACTTCCCCGCGCTACCACTGCCCTCCGCGCACCCCAGCCCTTCAGAGTCAGCCAGTGTGAGCTGGCCACCACGCCCGCCCCGCTCAGGCAGCAACACACAATGGCCCGGGTGCTTTAGCAACGCTGAGGTTCCGAATAAGGGTACTTTCTAGGAGCAAGAAAAGATCCCAAGGGAGGCACGTCAAGAGGTCTAGCTTCCAGGAGGAGCTTGGGAAGTTCGGGCAAGAATCAGGAGAGAGCTGACCAGGACCCCAGTAATTGACGGTTAGGGCTTTTTGCCACACTGAACTCAGATAGGTGAGTGCGATCCTCGGGAAACGACTCTCCTGCCACCAAGTTCCCCTTAGGATGTTCTGCTGAGTACCTCTCCTAGATCGTCCAAATGAGGAATCAACACCCGACTCCGCGTCCACGGCCAGGGTTGTTTCTTAAACAGCAAATGCGCTCGGAATAGGAGGGTTACCAGGGCGTCTCCGTCGCCAACCCGTGGGGCCCGTTTTACAATCGCCGCCAACAATCAGAATGCACTCGTTGAATTCCGCGGTGGGGAAAGGCCGATCTCCTGCCGCTGTCAGCGGCTGCGAAAAGGCGCCCAGCCGTGGCCCGCCTCTAAGGAAGCCGGCGCCTCCACCGGTGGCGCGCAGCCACGGGGCGAGGGGCGAGGGCCGGGAGGAGACCACGCGCCCGCGGCTCCCCCACGCCCGTCAGTGCCCGTGGCCGCCTGGGCCTCACCTGGAAGCGCGGCCGCTCCTTGGCCTGCTCGGGGCTCCGGGGCGACGACCTCTCGCCGGCGGCGTCCTGGGCCCGCCCCACCGGCGGGGGCTGCTCCGGACTCCTGGGCGCGCGCCGCCGGGCCGCCTCACCTGCCCCGGTCTCCCGCGGCGGCAACCCGGGCCCGGCGACCGGCGGCTCCCAGCTCGTCCGCACCGCGGCCTGGGCCTCGTCTTCGTCCCCTTCCTCCTCTTCGGGCCGCGGCCGTTGGGGCGCCTTCCTCGCCGACCCCTCTCCCTCCTCGGGGCCCCGGGGCCTCGGAGGCGCCGGCTTCCGCTCTCCCCCCGCGCTGTCTGCCCCTTCCAGGAAGGTGGTGAGGCGGCGGGAGGCCACGGGCGAGTACACGGCGACGGTGCGCGGGAAGCGCACGGGCCGCGGGGCGCCGCGCGGGGGGCTGCCCTGCTCCGCGCCCCGGCGCGCCGGCTGCGGGGACGCCGAGCCCCCGCCGCCCGCACCCTCGAGGCCAGGGCCGGCCAGGGGACCGGAGTCGCGGGCCCTGCGCAGCAGCGTGCGCCGCCCCAGCGAGCACTGAACCGAGGCGTCGCGGCGCGGGTTCACCTGCACCGCCACGTCCCGGCTGCTGGCCCTGCGGGGCCGCGGGCCCAGGCCCGGGCTCACCTGCGACAGGAGGGCCATGAGCTGCGCCCGCTGGTAGCTGTCAAAGTACTCGGCGGCCGTCAGCTGCCCGCAGCCCGGGAAAGAGGACGCGGCCGCCCCGGCAGAGGAGGACGACGAGGGGGACGACGCGGGAGCGTAGCCCCCACCCCTGTGCCGCCAGCCGCCCCCGCCCGCCGCGCCCTTGCTCTTGGCGGCCGGCGGGTAGGGGTACGGGTACGAGTAGGGGACGCACGCCGGGTACATGTAACCGTCCAGCACCTCCTCCGCCAGGGCAGCCATAAGCGCAGCCCGGGCCGCTCCCGAAGCCGCCCTGCCCTAAATAGGCAGCCCTGCGGAGGCAGCCGGCCGCCGACCTCCCCCCCCTCCGCCGCCGCTCCCCGCGTTGCGCGGCCCCCAGCACCCTGCCCGTCCCCGGCTCGGGTCCCGGAGTCCCCGCCTAGGCGGCCTGTCCCTGACCTCTGTGGGGAAATTTTCCACACCCGGAGGTCGCCACAAATACCCTTCGGTGATGGGGAAAGGCTGCTTTCTTTGTGATGCAAGAACTGATTTGTGAGTGAGCTCGCCGGAGGTGAAGAGGATACCGACAAAAGAGCGCAATCACCGGGATTAGCCGAGCCAGGTGGTCCCGGGTCTCGGGGATTCCAGGTGTCTGCGCTGCCCGGGAAGCTGAGGCCAAGCTGGGCGTCTCTGTCTGGCTAGTGAGCAAAAATGCACAGGTTTGGGGGAACTGCTTTGGGTCTGTTACCTAGGATCTCAGATCGTAGTTTATCTCGGAACTGCTCTGAAAAGTCCACCCGTTGCCCCTTTCGGGAACCCCACAGGGAAAGCACTCTAAGGCATCCGTATCTAGGCTAATTGTCTTCTCCCCCGGAGCACGTCCTCCCCTCCCCTCCACCCCCCCACCTCAAGCGAGTACCACGAGGTATTGATGTCTATTGGGGTGGAGAGTACTAAAATTTTCCTAACCAAATTATCCCTCCAAAAGGTAATTGATCTGCGATGTGTCGACATAAATGCAGAAACCAAATCAGTCCCCAACTGAGAAGAAAATGCCTTGTTCCCTGGAAAAATGTTAGCTATCCATTATTAATCGGTATCAGATATACATTAATGTACTTTTGTGTTGATTTGATACAGGTTTGACAATAAAATACTGTATTTCATTGCTTAGTTGACCTGTTTTGGGATTTTTTTTTTTAATACAGCTCAAAATTCAACACTGTCTGGTGTTCCTAAGTTGAGCAAGCACTTGGTTTTTTTACAATTACATTAAACTCAATTATGCTTTACAAATTGCTTTCAAATTATGCTTTACAAAAAAAAGCTTGTTTTTACTCATATAAGATAGTGCACCAAAATTCTACATTTCCAAGACCCTGTTTTCTAAGAGTTTACATATTTGAAACATAGAAATTGGTAATGGTAAAAACCAAAGAGCACATTTAACATGTTCAGGCTTTACCCTAGCAGTCCCAGGTGCAAGTTATATTATGACATTGATTTGTAATTTGGGAAAACGCTTGGTCAATACACCAATGCAACCTTACAATGGGAAGATCATAATTGTGACACGTATGATGATATGAACCATTTGTTCTCCTTTATGTAAACCATATTCACTACCACAGACCATAACGATGAAGTAATATTTCAGCAAGATAGAAGAGCCTCTGTATCTTCACGTTCAGAGAGAAGTCTGAGTGGTTTCCATCATAATTAAATTATCAGCTTTCACTGTGCCATAGGAAGTGTCTGCCATTTCCTCTTCTTTTAGTTTCTTATAAGAAATATCTGTGTCTTCATCTTCATCTAGAGGATCTCGCTTGTGCAATATTTCTCTTCCATACACTTTATATATTAAGACCAAAATCGCTGCTTCTGCAGACTGGAAAAGGGCATAAAGCAAGGGAAACATGTACATACTTCCTATGAATTGTGGTGGGAAGGCCAGTTTCAGAATGGCAGTACAGAGCTGCACATTCTGACTGCCCGTTTCCAGGCATACAGTCCTCTTGCAGTTGGGTGGAAGATGGAAGAGAGTAGCCAAGCCGTAGCCTGAGGCATAGCCTGCCAGAGGCATAAAAATTGCTATCATATAAACACTTGCAGGAATACTCGACAGCAGTTCAGGTCCTAACATAGTGCCAGTCATTATGAAAAGGACCACCAGCGTCACTAGCAGAGACCACAGGGAAACCTAGTAATAGAAAATGAACACACAAACCATCAAAAATAGGATAGTTGATATGGAATTCAGGCCAGCGAATCCTAGGCTCTTGGAAGAAGAGACACATCTAGGCTCACCTCCCACACAACGGAGATCTTTGCCACAAGCAGTCTTTGATAAAGTACTTCTGAGGATGGATATAGATCCACCTTCAGGACGAGTCTGGGTCCTTGTTGGACAGTTCTAATTGTTTGGAGGCCTGTGCTTACGATGAGTGACAATCTGCCTTCCCTAACAACTAGCCATTATCTTGGATAGACGCTCAGGAGCAGCATAGACCAGACTCTTGTTTGTTTGTTTAATTAATTAATTAATTAATTTGACTCCTGTTTAAAAAACAGGAGCAGAAGGGCACGTGGGTGGCTCAGTCGGTTAGGTATCTGCCTTTGGCTCAGGTCATGATCCTGGGATCAAGTCCTGCATTGGGCTCCTTGGTCAGGGGGTAGCCTGCTTCTCCCTCTGCGCCTCCCCCTGCTCGTCATTCCCTCTCTTGCTCTCTCAAATAAATAAATAAAATCTTTAAAAAATAGATAAAAAGTAAAAAACAGGAGGGGAGGGGCACCTGGTGGCTCAGTCGGTTGAGCATCGACTCTTGATTTCAGCTCAGGTCATGATCTCACAGATCAAGCCCGGGCAATGGGCTCCTTAATGAGCATGGCGCCTGCTTTGGGGCTCTCCCTCTCTCTCTGCCCACCCCCTCTTCTTCTCTTCTAAAACAAAACAAAACAAACAAACAAACAAAAAACAGGAGGGGAAGGTACTCTTCTTCAGGCAGATGTCTCCAGACTTTCATGTAACTCTGTGGTGGGAGTCCTGATAGTTCTGAACATGTGTTTAATTTGTGCGTGTACCTCTTAAAAACAGAAGTTAGAATTGAGCTCAACACACCAGGTCTGGTCTGATGAACAGAGTGGGCAAATGAACATTACCTTCCCTGAACGGGACCCCATGTTTTCCATAAGAAATTAGTTCTGAGAAGTATATTACACGTGATATAAAAAGCTATTAAAATTTATGAAACTTATATGTGATATTTTCAAACTTCAAAATACTTTGTATTTCAGAGAATTGATAGCAATATTGAAACAATTACCAACTCAGATTATGTAAGTGAAAAATGTAAACAGAAGTGAGGAATTCTTTGTAATTCTGAACATCCCCTTTTTCTATCTGTTCATGAGAAAACTCCCACCTGTAAATCTCCAATGATGTTAAAAATTCTTACATATAATAGATGGATTTTAAATATAGTACAACTGACTCTATATAAGACATTGCATCGTCTTGATGTCTGACTGGTACATCTCACTCATTCAAGTAAGACAAGCTGTGAAAAACAATAAGGTGGAAACCTAAAAATTCCTCTCCTAGTTCTCCTTCAGATTAGTAGTTAGCTAGTTTTTGTTTTTGTTTTTGTTTAATGGGGGTGGTGGTTGGGAGGTGTCTGTGAAGGAAACCAGAGATCCAGAAGAACAGTTTAAGTGTTGCTTCTGGTTTGCTGGATATCTGGGGGAAACCCCTTTGGAGTCTGTGGGATTGGCATATACTTCATACTCTTTTAAAAATTATTTAAAATTTATCTGGGCTGGACAAAAAGTCTATGCTAGAGGGTGCTGAAATTATTATATAAAGTACTCATGCTACAAAGGCACAACGGGCAGAAACCAAACTATGATAAATCAAAACTTTTTTTAAGTACTCTACACCCAACGTGGGGCTCGAACTCATGACCCAGAAATTAAGAGTTGCACGCTCTACTGACTGAGCCAGCCAGATGCCCCTGAGGTTTTCTTATATCAAGATGTGTGTCCACATCAAAAGCTTTGACAGGAAATCTGATTCTTCATTGTAAAAATATTGGCTCCAAAGTTTCTTTTGAACTATTTTAAACCATTTGGGTAAGCACTGACATTAAAGAATCATTTTAAAGTGTTTGCAAAAGTGTAAAAGTGTTATATAGCATACTTTATGAGTTAGGAGTAGGAATAGGTTCACCTTAAATTCAAAGTGAGCCAATCTGGGTGCCTGGGTGGCTCAGTCGGTTAAGCGACTGCCTTCGGCTCAGGTCATGATCCTGGAGTCCCAGGATCGAGTCCCGCATCGGGCTCCCTGCTCGGCGGGGAGTCTGCTTCTCCCTCTGACCTTCCCCCCTGTCCTGCTCTCTCTCTCTCATTCTCTTTCTCAAATAAATAAATAAAATCTTTTAAAAAAATAAAAAAAAAACAAAGTGAGCCAATCTTATTGAATTGTCTATTACTTAAATATATTTATCTGTTTTTAGCATGGGAATAGCTTATTTGATTGACTTTCTCTTAGAATTCCTAGGTTTGTTTGTTTTTTTTAAAGATTTTATGTATTTGACAGAAAGAGACACAGCGAGAGAAGGAACACAAGCAGGGGGAGAGGGAGAGGGAAAAGCAGATTCCCCGCTGAGCAGGGAACCCGATGCGGGGCTCGATCCTAGGACCAGGCTGGATTCCAGGACCCTAGGACCAGGACCTGAGCCGAAGGCAGACACTTAAAGAGTGAGCCACCCAGGCGCCCCTAGAATTCCTAGGTTTTATAGTATTAGCTTAATAGTATTAGCTTCATGATTAAGCTTAATGTGTTCTTAATGCATTTCAAGATTATTTGTAGGTATATTATATATGTAATATAGAAAACATATGTATATTTACATGTATATATAAATTTATTACATTCAGAATATATGTTTATTATATATATATATTTTAAAGATTTATTTATTTGACAGAGAGAGACACAGCGAGAGAGGGAACACAAGCAGGGGGAGAGGGAGAGGGAGAAGCAGGCCTCCCACTGAGCAGGGAGCCCCACACGGGGCTCGATCCCAGGACCCTGGGATCATGACCTGAGCCAAAGCCAGACGCTTAACGACTGAGCCACCCAGGCGCCCCAATATATGTTTATTATAGAGCACAATTTTTTTACTCAAGACTGGATATATGTGTATAAAAGAACCCTTTATTTTTCATATTAATAAAAGTTAGCTTCTCTGAATAATCAGATTTTAGATTCTATTATTTAAAATTAACTTATTTAATTAATATAAGTAAAACACAAAAGATTATGTCTTCTTAAATCTACAAAATTGAAACACTGGAGAAACTCTTTTCGCTTGTCCAAATGAATTTGCCTGTGCATTAACAGTAGTTACTTATGTATTCTGAGTAACTAAAATGGGAGTCCTATTCATGGTTTACTCTTATTTACTATTTTTGAGTTTTCAAAGAAAGCTTAGTTGACAAATATTTAATTTTTTCCCCAGTCACCTTTACAAAATCTCTACTTCTCAAAAAGCACCAGTTGTTTTTTTTTTTTAAATAAAGCAATACTGGAAATAGTACACAAAGTAACAGGAATTCTCATCCTTTCACTAGCTTTAGATGCAGTACTGCAAGGGGAAGGAAAAACACACAGATTTACTAATGGTTATATACTCTGCATTATTTATCCAGGGCCCAATCTTATTTTGTGCTTTAAAGTCAATATTTTGTGTATTCTATTGTGTATTCTATTGCCTCAATGTGATTTTTAAATTACTTTTGGTCATATTAGTGTCAACTTATTTTTAGAAAATTAATAAAACATTTTAAAGGAAACGTCTATAGAGTTCCTCAGAATTAGAGTTCCGCTTTTTAAAAAGATAGTAATACATTTCTAAAATACTGGACAAATTCAATTCATATAATTTTATTTCATCTGCTTTGATTCTTAATAATGCATGATTTGTAGTGGAAAATATGCTGCCAATTAATGGCACTGATATCTCTTTCCCCTGTGATATATTTCCTCCTGTGAATACTAGTAGTTCTCTTATGCTGTTTTTAATTAAGCTTTGTCTTAATTAAAGCTATGAGTTTTTGGAATGCCAAAAGATAGAAGTTATCTTTGTGGCACAAACTTTTTTTTTTAAGTTTATCCATGCAAGGGCTGCCAAGTTTTCTTCCTTATCCCTCTTTCCCAAACTTCTTAGCATTTCAGCCAGGGGTCAGAGACCAAGGACTCTCTAAATACAAAGTACATAAAAAGGAAGAGTGACCTTACCTTCACAATGTAGTCTGCCACCCGGTTGTATTTGTACCGAATGAAGACCCCCAAGCCAATAGGGATGAGAGTGCTGCAGAGAGTCAGGGTCACCGCCCCCAGCGGTAGTAATTGCACCAGGGGGGTGTTGATCCAAGCCCGGCTATAGATCCACAGGCACACGGGCATCAAGATTAGGGCCAGAAGTGTAGAGGAGATGGTCATGATGATGCTGCAGAAAAGGGAATGAACAGAATTCAGAATGGGCTCTGTGCCAAGAATCTCCTTTGCACACTGGGTAACCTCTCTCTTGAACAATGGGTAGAGGAGAAAGAGACTGCAAGTCTGGAGCTTGAAGTGTGGGGAGAACCCACTTCATCCAGGGAACTGCCAAGAGCTCGGCAGCTCTAAGCCCAACCGAAACAGGAACCCCATACTGGGGGGGGGGGGCGAATCTGAGAACTCTTGCCCCGGTTTTATAAAGCCTATTGAGCTGGCTACAGTCTGTCTGGATGATTCTGAGGGCAAAGAACATCTTTCCTTCTTTTTTAGTCCTCCAAAGCACCCTGTTAGACATAGCAAAGCTGCTGAACACGACTTGTTGGACTGAACTCAATTATATTGTCCTCTATATGAGATCACTTTCTTTATTGGGGCCAAGAGCCCTATTTTGCTTTTGCATTTCCGGTGAGACCTAGCTTCAGGCTTCCCAGTTCTCTTTGTCTTCCAGAGGCCCGAGACCTCCGCTGACAGCCCAGCCCTCAGGGAAGATGGTCGGAGGGCCGTCAGAGCAGCTCTGTCCCCGTCTAGGTCTTTCCCCCTACAACACTACTTCCTCACATCTGCCTTGACTTCTAAAGCCCGGACGTCACCTCTTCCTGCGCTCTCCCCAACCGCCTCTCCTTCCTCTCTGCTGCGTCTCGAACCCGCGGCTCAGCGCGGCTGCTTGGGGTACGAGAGATGCCCAAGGACCAGACAGCTCCGTACCTGAGGTTCATGTCGCCGTCCACCAGCAGGGACATGAGGTTGGAGAGATTCCCGCCGGGACAGCAGCCACACAGGAGCACGGCCACGGCGGCCACCTCGTTCAGCGAGAAGGCCAGGGCCAGCAGGAAGGCCAGCAGCGGCAGCAAGCCGAACTGGCAGAGCGCGGCCAGCAGCGCGCCCACGGGCCGGCGGACGTGCTCCCCGAAGTGGTTCACGTCCACCGTGCAGCCCAGGCCCAGCATGGTGATGCACAAGGCGGCGCCCACGAACACGTTCAGCCCGTGGTTCAGCGGCGTGTCCCAGAACAGGGTCTGGGGGTGCGCCCAGGGGTGGGGGAACAGGGACGGGCCCAGGCTGGCCGCGCCGCCCGCCGAGCCGCCCGCCGTCGGCTCCGGGGTGGGCGTGGGGCCGGGGCTGAAACCGACGCCGGGACTGGGCGCGAGACTGAGCCCGGGGCCGGGCCCGGCGCTGGAGTTCAGGGTGACGGGCAGGTCCGAGCCGGGGCGCAGGCTGCTGGCATTGGGCGACAGCGTGTAGTTGTCCGGCTGCAGCGAGGACGGGGCGAAGAGCAGCGTCGCGTTGTCGGGGCCGTCCATGGCGCTGGGGCGGGAGACTGCGGGGCTGCGGTTCCCGGGCCCCGCGCGCCTCTCCCCCGGTCCTGCGGTCGCCGCCGCCGTCCGCCCGCCCGCCCGTCGGTCCGCAGCAGCAGACGAAGCTCGGTCCGCAGCCCCGGCTGCGCGGCGCTGACGTCTCCGCGGCGTCGGGTGCGGCGTGGGGGGTGGGGCTGGGGTCCTCGGCAGGCGGCACTTAGAGCGCAGCCCCCCAGGGTGAAGGCAATCGCTGGGCCCCCGCGCCCGGCAGGCCCCGCCCCGCCGCGGGTCCCTCCTTTTAATCACCAGTAAGTGGTTCTGTGAGAGTGTAGCCAGGGGCGGAACAAAGACCTGACAAAGGACAAGAAGAAGAAAAACCGTGCCTGGCTGCCGATCAAATTCTCTGATGGGCTCTGCCTCTTTCATAATGAAATCTGGAGACCCAGACACGGGGAGTGGGGGGGGGGAGGAGAGAGAGCGAGCGAGCGAGCTTATCTAAGCACGCACAAAAAGTACATACACTGTTCAAATAGCCTGCAACCCTGAGCATGGAGAGGGGGTCCCTGACTTAATATGAGCGGTTCTCTGGTAGCAAGACACAGTATCTGGCTTTATTAACAGGGTTTTTTTTAATTCTTTTCTTTTAATTTTTTAAGTAAAATAAATAATTTGCTAACAGTTTTTAAATAAGATATGTTCAGATTTAAAGTAGAAAGTAGTAATACCGGTGGATTTGGCAGGTGCGTGTGCATTATTCCATTTGATTCTCACAGAGGAGCCTTGAGAAATGCTGTTAACTCAGTTCTTCCACATGAGGAATCGGAGGCTCAGGGAAATCTCAGCCTCATCAGCCAAACCCACAGCAGTACCTGGATGAATGTGCACCGTGATACGTCGTTAGAGAGGACAGTGAAGAGCTCTGCTAAGAAAAGTCTCCGTGAAAAATGTGTTTTGGAAATTATTGGCAGATGGGGAGAGGATGTTTCTCAGTGGCCATAAATTTATGAAGTGTTATGAGTAAAGCCCCGGCATTAGGATTAAAGGACCGAAAAGAAATAAAGTGGTGGGATTCCCTGCTTCAGACAGGTTTATCCCCAAACAAATCAAATTCAGAGTTCACGGCACTGTGGACTCAACAACTTTTAGTCACCAGAAGCATCTACAAAGGAGAGAGACCTCTCTGCATACCAAGGAGGCGGAGCCATTTGAGAAGGCATCTAGCTGTCTTGAAGCCATAGCCATTGAGTTGTGAAAGCCAACAGGAGGATTTTCTAGGCAGAAGTCTTAGCTCAGGGTTAGTTTGAGAGGAGCCAAGACCCTAGAGTGAATTCTTCCTCCTGGGGACTTGTCCTTCCCCCCCCCCTTTTCTGACACTAGAGGAGAATGCGTGATTCCATTTCCCAGTGGTGGACTGAGCTCCTGTGTTTATCTTTTCTCCTCCCCAAATCTCATGAAAATGACAGAATATGAAAAATAAGATTAAATTCCCTGCATATTGCATTCATAATCACAAATAATTTATTTTTTTTCTCCATTGGACCATAAATTCCATGGGGGCAGAGCTGCGGCAAGCATTTAGGAAAATAATGTGCCTTCATACTTTCCCAAAGCCATAAACCCAAGAAAACCATGCAGTGACGTCTATTGAGATTTGAAGGAAGTGGGATGTGATAATCTAAGTTTTCATTTAGGATTATGTAAGCAAAACAAAGATACTCAGCTATACAGTGAAACATACTACCCAAATACTGTCATTAGAGAGGTATATCCCAGGGAGACAGGGAGAAACAAACAAGATAAGGAGTGCCTGCTGAGCCTTTACATTCTTCAAACCACGGGATGAGATAAGCCAAGAACACAAATGGTAGAGGGTGAGCTGAAGCCTCACTCTGCAGGCACCACCCCTGTTTGCCCCCTCCTCGTGTTAATGATATTAAAATCCACAATCAAATTCAATAAGCAGTAATTAGAGGCAGACCAACTCATCCAACTAGCTCCTCTCTTGGTTTGGGGAGGGATTGGGAAGGTGATTTATATAATGGGCAAAGAGCAAAAAGCAGAAAGGGATAGACCTGTTTTGTAAATCAGCAAACTCACAGTAAACCTGCAGTTTGGGGGGCTTCTTGGGGCCTGAAGACCTGTCATCTCCCGACTGATGTGGTTATTGTCAATGTAAAGAAAGCAGATGTTCCTGCCTCCCCTCTTCCTTCTGAGCTCCTTCACTATTTAGGAGAAAACCCCAGGAGTAGAAAACAGAGCTCATAATCCAGGTGTGGTACTGGCATGGGTCACTTAGCCTCCTCAATTACCTTCCTTTTACTCTTGCTGCCACCAAGGAGGGTGTGGCCCACCCAGAGGAGAGAGAATACATAGAAGGGAGAGGCAACAACATAGCACTCGGAAAATATGCTGTGGGGGGTTGGGGGGAGGTGAGAATAAGTTTAGAACCTTGTTGCACACCATACACCAAAAATAATTCCACATAGATTAAAGGGTTAACTATAGGGCGCCTGGGTGGCTCAGTTGGTTAAGCGACTGCCTTCGGCTCAGGTCATGATCCTGGAGTCCCAGGATCGAGTCCCACATCAGGCTCCCTGCTCAGCGGGGGGTCTGCTTCTCCCTCTGACGCTCTTCCCTCTCATGCTCTGTCTCTCATTCTCTCTCTCTCAAATAAATAAATAAAATCTTTAAAAAAATAAAATAAATAAAGGGTTAACTATAGGTTGCCTGGGTGGCTCATTCGGTTAAGTGCCTGCCTTCAGCTCAGGTCATGGTCTCAGGGTCCTGGGATCGAGCCCCGCATCAGGCTCCTTGCTCTCTCTCTCTCAAATAAATAAAATCTTTAAAAATATATAGAGAAACAATAAGAACATTTTTGAAAAAGATTTTATTTATTTATTTGACAGAGAGAGAGTACAAGCAGGGGCAGTGGGAGGTGGAGGGAGAGGGAGAAGCAGGCTCCCCACCGAGCAGGGAGCCCTATGCAGGGAGCCCCATGCGGGGCTGGATCCCAGGACCCTGGGATCATGACCTGAGCCAAAGGCAGACGTTTAACGCTTAACGACTGAACCACCCAGGCACCCCAAGAACGTTTTTTTTTTTTTAAGTGAGAGCTACATTGAGTGTTTACTATACACAGAGAATCTTCTAAGCCTTTACATGGACCATCTCCTTTAACTCTTACAATAGGCTTAAGGGGGTTAGAAATTTGCAAGTCATTTCCTAGCAGGGAGAGAGCCAGGATTGGAACCCACCCTTTTGGATCCCAAAGTCTGCTCTCCTAAGCCTGTTGTGGTACGGTTAAATAAATGAATGCACTAACACAGGAGACTGCTATGCAGATGCTAAGTATCATGTTTATAATCAGAGTTGTTAATCTGGACTCCATTGGTGAATCTGAGAACCTCCTGAAATGAGGTATCAACTTTTCCGAATATGTACAATTTTTTTCCCTGAAGAGTCCATGATTTTCTCAGGTTCCAAAAAGAGTCCCAAGACCTATTTAGAGGAATAATAAGGGAAAAATTCCTGTGATAAAATCCTAAGTGATAAAACAAGTTAAAAAGGTATAAATACACACACATACACACACACACACATTTATATTCTAGTAAATATATAAATATATATAAATTTAGAGGGAATTTATCCAACGTATAGATTATCTGCATGGTAGTATTAAAAGTGATTTTTAGGGGTGCCTGGGTGACTTTGTCAGTTAAGTATCCAACTCTTAGTTTTGGCTCAGGTCATGATCTCAGGGTCCTGAGATCCAGGCCCCACCTCCCAACTGGGCTCTGTGCTCAGTGGGGAGTCTGCTTGCGATTCTCTCTCTCTCTGCCCTCCCCCTGCTCTTGTGCATGTGTGCATTTTCTCTCTCTCTCTCAAATAAATCTTTGTATTTTTTACTTTTAAATATTTATTTATTTGAGAGAGAGAGAAAGAGAGAGAGAGGAGAGGGAGAAGCAGACTCCTCTTTAAGCAGGGAGCTGGATGCGGGGCTCAATCCCAGGACCCTGGGATCATGACCTGAGCCGAAGGCAGGCACTTAACTAACTGAGCCACCCAGGCACCCCTTAAATAAATAAATCTTTTTTAAAAGGTGATTTTTAGTTTTTTCTCCTTTTTTTAAAAAATTTTTTACCGTATTCCTGAACTTCTGCCATAATAGTATTTTATAACCAGAAAAATACACTATTTTTTAAAGTATCATATCCAGAGGAAAAAGAAATTCCACAAGTGTCAAAGGGTAAATCACTTTAATCAATCTTCAGCCCATAGGTTGATAGAGAAAACAGGCAAAAGACACAATTTACAATAGAAAAAGTATATGCTATTTATTGGATAGAAAACATTTTATTTGGGTGCCTGGCTGGCTCAGAGGGTTAAGTGTCTGCCTTTGGCTCAGGTCTTCATCCCAGGGTCCTGGCATCGAGTCCCGCATCGGGTTTCCTGCTGCTTGGGGAGCCTGCTTCTCCCGCTGCCCCTCTCTCTGTCTCTCATGAATAAATAAATAAAATCTTTAAAAAAAAGTTTTATTTCACTAGTAGTTACATAAACACAAAACTTAAAATTCAAATAGACAGTCTCAAAGTAACAACATTTAATGCTGAAATGCAATGGAAGAAATACTCGAACCCCCCTGATGGTGGTGAAGGATTTGATACAGCTTCTGGGGAAAGCAATCTGATAATACAATTCTGCTTCTGGAAATTTTTTTTAATTAGATTTCAAGTGAAGTGCCAGAAACCGTAACTCCCATTGGTTTAAGGCCAAAAAGGGAATTTACTGACTCACGAAAATGAAAAATCTCCAGGTGTGGCTGGCTCCCAAGTTAAAATGAAGACTCAGTCTCTCTCCATTTCTCAGCTCTGCTTTCCTCTATTGTTATCTTCATTGTCATGTATACTTTCTCCATAGGGAGGTTCACAATTTCACATACAGGTTTCCCCTGATATCTGAAAGTAGAGTGTTCCTTTGAAACCTTTGGTAAGCTGGAACGCCATCAAGGGAAGAAGCCATTACCATTCATCCATGCAGAAAAATTGAGCATTCCTAGACCCCCAAAGTAGCCTTGGGGCTCCTGGGTGGCTCAGTCAGTTAAGCATCTGTCTTAGGCTCAGGTCATGATCCAGGGGTCCTGGAATCGAGTCC